TATCCCAATTGTAAGTCGCTTTGGATGAAAGCGTCTGCTAAATGAATAAATGTAAATGTAAATATAACATATACTGTAGGATGTAATTTAATTTAAACCTAAATAATGTAAATAAACCCATCGTCTTCTTGTACGGCCCATGTCTTTAGTCATCTTATGTTAAAACACCCCAGGCCTACAGTACATACTGTATGTGTCACACTGTGGCACTGTACTTCCATTTTTGCATCATGTTAAAGCTGTAATTCATCAGAAAGTTCCTCTATAATTTTAAATCTATGAGACAAATGCATTTCTGTAAAAGCATATAAAATGACTCACCCTGTATGATGACTGTCAAGCTATTATCAGTTTTTTGGGCTGGAGTGAATGTTTTAATGGGCTCTGGTTATCTTTACACAGGAAACCATGGTGAAAAGCAGTGTTGGGCAAGGGGAGGGGCAGTGTGTGAATGTGTTGAAACAAGCTGTGTCAGATCTCCATTAATGTGTGGGCCAGTCTGGAACGCTAAAGAGAGTGACCGGTCATGACAATGTGCTTTTTCAGCCATTCAACACGACAGTATTGTCCTTTTATCTTCAGTGAGTGCTAACTGAAAGAAGTTTACGTTACTCTATCCGGAAATTATCTTCTGAAATCGTTCAGTAAAAATAGAGATGCAGTTCAAAATACAAATATTACATGTTTAACACTAATGTCAAAATGCAAGTCTTGTTGTACACAGTAAATTTATTTCAGGCTTAATCTAAAACAATTCTATAAAAGTACCGTTTTGAATTCCAATAATCAGTTATAAACTCTACAATACAGACACAGATTTAGGTATTAACACAAGAAATTCATTCAAACATCTTTGTTTTGTAACATGATACTAGTATTTACACAGGCAGTTTTCCATACTAATACAAAGAACCATGAAAATTCTTAGCAAAATAATAAAGACATTATATGTGGTTAACTTTAAAAAACATTTATGTACAAAAATCAATGAGAAATGTAAAATAACAAAATAAATATAAACCAAAAAATCTCTATAAGACTTGGTTTTGCTATTTGCTCTTATCACACAGGTCTAAAGCAGGCTCCATGCTGCGCTGAAGCTGTCAGAATGAGGTAGTCCTCCATACGCTGCTCCAGGACAGAGTAAAACTGACGGAGCTGCTCTCTGGCCGGTGGATGATACAACCACAGGGCTGCCACCATCACCACCATCATGAGCAGTACGAAGAGAAACAGACAGAGCCAGGACCCACAGCTTCGACTCTGTTCAGGGAGATGAGAGTGGAAAATGATTTATGGCATTAATGGAAACCAAATGAAAGTGGGGAGAACCTTGATCTCAACCAACTTAATTTTGAAAACGGCTCACTGCAGCTGTAAGAATATGTGGTATTCAAAAATATATTCATCTGACAGACTAAAAATTCAAAGTTATAAGAAAACCAGGCTGAAACTGGACTTCTAGTCATGCATGGATGTTATGTTGGTAGAATCTCACCCTGCTGTTGTTTTGGCGTGTCGTCAGTATGTTCAGTTCTTCTCTGCATTGGGTCAGTCGGGACTGATAGCTGTAACACTCTTGCTCCAGGGCCTCAAGATCCGCCTGCAGCTCCATGCACTGCCACAGCAACCGGGCAATCAAGACAACACTATGTTAAACTATGTCTTATATTAATGTATACAAACTTTTTACAATAATTGTTTTGTTGGTTTAACTTTTTATTTTATTGCCCCCCTAAAACAGTCCAAGTATGATCATCTTTGTGCACTGAATTTCACTGCTACTCTACAGCTTATAAAATGTTATATACAGTATATATCATATATAAATTTAATAATTTATTAGTCATTTATTACATTTACGGCAAGACACCAAAGGTGAATAGGAAAAAGAAGAGGAGAAAGAAAGAAGTAATAGATATCACCATACGTCCCTGTGTTCATTAAATTAGTCATTACAGTACATTAAGGTACTGTTTTGTATTACAAGTTTTATAAATGTTTAAATGCAAATGAGGCATTACTATAATGAATAATTTTATTATATATTATCATATATCACAACATAAATCTGAACACTGGATAAATCTAGGCTCAAAATGTTTTCCTTTTGTTGATATATTAGAGTTACGTTTTTTTGCATAGAAATTAATATATAATATATACTCCATAGAAATAATTTTTAATTCGTTTCTGGGAATTAAATATAAAAATCAGGCAAAGGGTTTATGAACAAACCATTAAGTTTGCTTAATGCAAAAATGCCTATAAAGATATGTATTGTAATATCGAAAGATGAAAATAGTTAAAAGGTAATAATATAAACACTTATATGTGTATTTCATTCCATAATATGTGTGAAAGAAAACATGTTACGGAAGCAAAATCCATCAATGGTTTTGCCTGTAGTGCCTTATTTTGAATTTCAGTGATTGCTCTAGCAGATCTTTACCTTTTTTTCTTTCATTCTGAGTCTATGTTCAGTCTCTCTCAGTTGTCTCGCTGTGCTGTTATCTGTCCGCAGGAGCTGCTCCAGTCCTGAAGCGTCTTCATGTATTTCTGTGCTATTGTTCCACCACTCATGGTTGTGTCCTGTGAGTGTGTAGAATAAAGAGACTGATAAAGGAAGATATCAAACTGCGAGAAATACGAGAGCTGAAAGAAATACAGCTTGTTAACTCCTTAACAGTATAGTATATTCCAAAAATTCTAAATATCTGAATGAATGTGAAGTGAAAGTCAGTTTTCCCTCACCTGTGAGTTCCTGTAGATGTTCTCTCAGGTTGAGGTTCTCGTCCTCCAGCTCTGAAATGAAGGAATTAAGCTCTGCTCTCTCCTGCTGCAGAGATTCAGAATGTTTCCTCAGCATCTCCTCCTGCTCCACAGAACGCTGCACAAACACATTCTCAGTTACACAACACATAAATGACATGCTTCCCCCCATGGTTTGTCAGCTTTTGCAAAAATCTGTGTTGTGTCACTCAAGTCCTTCGATACTCTGGTGATGGTTTCTGTTACAGTGGCTTTGGCGTACCTCCAAGTGACCCTGCAGCTGTAGCATCTGATCGGTGCACTCATCCTGCCTCTTCTTTAGCTGACTCGAACCCTCTTTCAGCTCCTCACACAGCCTCTGCCATTGCTCAGACTCTGCCTGTGCTGTCTGCAGCGCCCCCTGGTGGAAGGGAAGAGTGGGAATGAAAACTGGATTCTTGGAACACAGCTAGGCGTTCTAAAAGAAAAACCCAGTGCGATTCGCAATGATAAATAAGGAGGTAATGTTGGTGATTTGTATTACATTTTATAATTGTTATTATGACTTTGACCACGGCATTTGCTTACTTACCTGTAGGTACTCCATCTTACTCTGAGCGTCCGCCTTCTCATTCTCCGCCCTCTGAATAGCCTTCATAGCCTGCTGTTCATACTCCTCCCTCTGTTTTTCCATCTTTAACACCACTTTTTTCACTCCATCCTGAGGAACCTTCTGAAAAAGACAAATTGCAGCATTTATCTTTCTATGTCAAAACGTTTCTCAAACTCTTTGAACTGTAGGCTACTTATCAAGGGCCAAGTTAAACCGATATGCTATTTTACAAATTAAAAGCAGAAAAATATACAACAAACCACAGCTTGGTTTGGTGTTGTTGCAGAGATGCAGCATTGCAAGTCTTACCTTGATGCAAACCTGCAGCTGAGCCTCCAGAGCTTTGATCTTATTCTTCAGCAAGTCCTCATCACAGCGTGTCTGTGGGAGGAAAAGGAAATGTGTGAGAGAGATGGAGAGAACCGCTGAAGCAAGAGTTTTCAGTTTCTGTACATGCATTACATCCTGTCTTATAACTGCTTCCGTAGCATTTTGTTAAAAGCAAGCAACCTTTATTATTTATAATTCTCGATTGAATGCTACAGTATATTGCCTCTTGAGAAAAATAAAGAATGAGCTCAAAATGGAAAAATGGAAAAGTCTGAATGAGGGGCGAGTTTGAAGCATTGCAGAAGCGCAAACAAACCCCTCTCTGACGCCTACACTGCTCTCCATTACGTGTGTGCGAGCTAGAAAAAAGAACCTTTCTGTTTTTTTGTTGTTTTTTTCAGAACGAACCATATAGAGCTGGACGTTGGCGAACACAAGACCATCCCCCAGCCTCTCTCTGTATTACTGCTGTGACCAAACCAGGAAATTCGGCAACTGATGAAGCCAGTCTTATGCAGAGTGACAGCATAGCTAATGTATCAGTAATAACCATGAATTTCAGAATGCTTTTGAATATGGTTTGTCTCATTTTGATTTAATAACCACAGCTTTTGAGCTGTATGAACTCCACAAAAGCCGATAATCATGTTCTTCAGCAGATTTACGAATGATCCAAAGATCATATTGTGCTTCAATGGAAGCAAGAACATCTGACAGTCTGTATAAAGGATTTCACATGGTCAGTGTGTTTGATTAGATTTCATAATGTACAGGTGCATGTGTGCCTCTAAATGATGCTGCAGGGCTTCAGCAGGAAGTAGTTTACTAATGTACCTTCCACAGTAGCTCTGTAGAGTGCAGTAATGTGGTGGCGCTCTTCTGGAGGTTGGAGAGCTTCTTTTTAAGAGCCTCTTCTCTGTGTAAGGCCTCCTGCATAGAGATGTCACATTTCACATCAGTAACATATTTTAAAATCAGTCAGGAAGAGCTGGTGTTTTTAAATATAAACATAATGGGTTGTCATACTTCTAAATAGTCAGCCAACTGGTGTACATCCTAAAAACAAAAGGAGAGGGAAAAAATATTAATTTTTTTTTTTTTAATAAATTACACAACATTAACATATTTAGCTATTTGTTTTTAAACAAGCATCAAATTTCTTACTGCTTCTTTGACGGTAACAAATCCAGACCTGATGGAAGAAAGTTCAAATGCTGCATTAATATTTACAAAGCAGGTGCATTATGATTACATTTTTCATTTTAAAATATACAGTAAATGTAATGTGACTCACTCAGTCTGAATGCTGGCGGTCTGCAATGTCTTCTGGGTGTTTGAGAGCTGAGTGATGTCTTTAAGCAGAACTGTGTGAATTATAAACACAAAACAATATTTTTAATAGTACTAATATTATAATATTTTGTCATGTATCATTTTGTCACATCCTAACATATATAACAAAACACTTTGAAAAATTGATATCATGCAGTGCATAACACTAGTATGTTTTGAAATTTTAATCTCGCTATTACTTATTACAGTAAGTAGAACTTAAGTATTCATGCCTCTGATTAATTTAAAGTGATGTTAGACATGACTTGGTTGGACCTATGGTTATTCATCAGAAAACCCACTAACCTCGTTCCTTTTTCATTTTCCCATGAAGCCGAATAGAATTGAGGACTGGTACATCCCATCCATCTGATTTCAGGTCATGTTCATCATTCATTGGAGATGTGGAGACTGTCTTTGGGATTTGGACATTTGATTTCAATGTTATTATAGAGGATCAGTGTTATTATAGAGGATGTCATTAAAGAA